AGGAGGATTCCCTGGAGAGCCCCGGGTCGCTGCTGTGAGCTCTGTTCACCGCCCGGAGTCTTTTATAGCACAATCCCTCCCCCAGGGGCAGGTGGGGCCAGGAGGGTTGGGCTGAATTTCTCGCTGGCAGGAGGGTTTTATTTCCAGTTCCACAGGCAGGGCATGTAAATATTATTTGTTTCCTCAACTGGCTGCTCCCTCACAGATCTTCTTCCCAGCACGTTGTCTGCAAAGCAGCCCCAGCTGACGTGACGTGCCCAACAGAGCAGCTGTGTTTTTCCTTCTCAGCTCTTGATTTTCCATTCTAGTTCAGACTAAAGCACCAAAACCTTTGCACAGGAGGTGGTGTCAAAGGGAGCCTGCCCAGAGCAAGCGTTGAAGCCAGTGAATTCCTCTCTGGGCCCCATTTTTTAAACCCTAACACTGCATAAGGCTGCCTCAGGCTTAACACCAAGATTTCCTTTTCTGACCCTGAATGTTCTTTTCCTCAGATCCCCCCTCTCAAGGGCAGATGTTTTGCACTCAGCTGTAGTTGTTCCTGGCCCAAGGTTAGAAATTCATAGTCAAAAAGTCATAGAATATCCTGAGCTGGAAGGGACCCACAAGGATTATCAAGTCCAGCTCACAGCCCTGCACAGGACACCCCAAAATCCCACCTGAGAGCGTTGTTGAGAGGGATAACTTGATTCTTCCTCAACAGCCCCACCTCTCCATTTGGCAGGGAAGTGGTGCCAGGAACTGGCAGAGCCCTGAGCTCTGGAGGGGCACTGGCAGCAGATTAAACATTGTCTGAAGCTCGTCCTTCCCTGCCCTGCTCTGCTCACACCTGAGACGACGACCCTGGACCTCTGTCTCAGCTTGGCCTGGTGAAACAACTGCCCTGTCAAGGCTGACTTGCCATCCTTCATGAGAGAACAAAATAGCTCTGCAAGAGGAGTGAGAATGTTTTCCAGGGTTATCTGTAAGACACATTCCTTGGGGCTCTGTCAGATTTGGGAGAGACATGAAGTACATCCTGTGGGTGATGAACCAGTGTTTTGGCAAGTTGGTTGCTCAGAGCAGGCTCATGACTTCATTTACTGCATGGATCTCCCAAAATGAGGGATTTCAGGCACCTGTACAAGCAGGAACAAAAAACATGTGAGAGAGGACTTGCAGTCCCACAGGCTTTGCCTCTCAGTTACTTTTATTGCCCAGGACACAAATTAAACTGTGAGATATGCATTAAAGATACCCAAAGCTTTTTCACTGCTGCTTGTTTTGTTATCTAAGGAATTCTAACGATGGTTTAGAGGTGTATTATCTCCTCTTGCATGAAAAAACAGCTGAATTATGCTGCAACTCCAGCTTCTTCCTCCAGCTGGTCCAGGAGCAGTCCTGTTAGTGATGGAACAGAGATAGCCAGAGGTTGAGGATTTAAACAATCTCCTTGCTGCAAACCACATTGTTTAACTCTGCTTGTTACAAACTGACTGGGCTGGTTCCCCTTACTGGTTTAATTGGTTTGGTGTAAGTGGACAAACCAGGCTTGTTTTTGTCTCAACAGGCATGTCAGCCCTAAAAATCTCCCTGCAATAGAGATTTGTGATAAATAACACTTCTCAGCAGGGTTATTCCATCCTGGGTGGCAGCTTCTGCCCACATTTATTGTGGTGGAGACATTGGGCTTTGATATTAACTCCTGGCTTTAATCCGGGCTTTGATATTAACCCCTGGCTTTAATCTGCATTGATTCTCTTGGGAAGAGGGCTGGGAAGGAGCATTTTGACTCAAAGCTCTTCCTGGAGGGTGAAAACAGTTAAAGGGAACTGTCCTCCTGAAGAAACCAGGGAAGTTTGGGGGCCATGATGGGATCCAGCTGCTCAATGGAATCCATCCTGCTCCAGCTGGCTCAGGGAGTGGGAGGAGTGGGATTTTTTGGCATTACCTGTGGACCCTGAAGGTTGTTCCAGATGCTGCTGCAGGTCTGTCACCTCTTAGATGATCCCACAGGCCTGAATTGGAGCTCCAGCAGCTCCCAGTGCCATTTCCAACAGCTTTTCTCTTCTTCAGCCCTGGCTGTGGAGCAGGATCTACTGAGAGGAACATCAGAGCTTCCTCCTGGAGGGAGCACCAGGAATATCCCTGACCAGCCCAGGAATATTAACGTGGAGCTTTTCACACTGCTCTGCATCTTTTAGCTTGTCAGGAGAGTGGAATTTGCTTTAACTGGGGCAAATTCCTTCATGGGAGCAATCCCTACACTGGTCCCTCACCCACAGACGAAATGATGGAGGAATGTCCAGGCCAGGCAGGTGCTGCCCCTGTTTCCATCAGAGCTCAGTCAGCTCTCACAGAACAGTTCTCTGCCCAATTCCCACCTGGCCTGTGACCCAGTGTGATCCCGAGGCCGGTGTCCACTGCTTCCTGCAGCCCCTCCTCCATCCAGACACACCTTTATGCCCTGACCACATGTTCTCTGTGGGAAGCAGCAGGAATCTGTCAGCAGGTCCCTCATGTCACCTCTGGGGACAGCAGCGATCCTGGCAATGCCTGACACTTTCTCGAGGCCAACAGGGCTCCTCTGGACGGGATGGGATGGATGTGGAGCGAGAGGTGGACAGAAGTCACCTTTAAGGGGTGGCACCGAGCCCGCCCAGCACTGGGTGGCGGTGCCAGGCATTCAGAGCTGTGACAGGGACAAACAGCAGCACCGTGGCCAGTGTTCAGGAGAAACAACTGGTCCCCAAGGAGCTCCTGGGCTTGCAAAGTGCTTGTTTGCTCCAGCAAGGTGGGTCCTTGCAAAAACCTTCATTTTAACCAGTGCAATTTCCTCGCTGGCAGCAGCAAAGAGGCAGCGAGGGCAATAAACCCTCAGCCTTATTTTTCAAGTGTCTTTTTTAACAAGGGTTAATCAAGAGTAAAATTAAGAGGCCTCCGGAGGGAGCTCCCGGCAGCCCGCGCTGACTCACGGCCCCAAATTTATCGCGGCCCGAAAAAAGTCATTTGCATTTCCTCCCGCACGCACCCGGAGAGAGCGCCTCGAACAGAAGAGGTCTGTAGGGAAAAGGGGTGGAGAGCAGGGAGGACCGACGGCGGGCCAGGCGCGATGCTTTGGTTATAAAGAGCATGGGAGGGAAGGCGGCGGCAGTGCCGCCCTCGGCCGGGGCTCCGCGCACACCGCGATGGGCGACGGGTCACTGCACTCCTGCCTCGGGCTCCTGGGCATTGCCGCAGGTAGGGATCGGTCCTGGCACGGGGTGCGGGCTCGGGATGACTCTCCTGGACGCCCCCCTTTAGCAGGGGGGCTAAAGAGGCTGTTTGTTCGCCGGCCGCGCTGCCCGGGTGAAGCTTTTCGCTCCCCCGCGCCCGTTTCCAGCGGCCAGCAAAATATTTGTCTTGGCTATAAAGTGCTGGCGTGGAGTTTTGTGCCCGTTCCGTCCTGGGTGGGAAGCAAATCCAAATTTTTTTTTGGTAGTCGTTGCAATAAATCATCTGGATTTGGATGCGCTCCCTCTCCCCTGTCCAGCCGTTCTCCTGTTTGCCGTGTTCACTCCCTTTCATTTCCTCCTTCTTAGTTTTCTGCCTCTCTGCATTTTGGGACTGGTTTTCTGTTGGCACGACGGCTCTAGGATTATCTGAAGGATGTGTGTGTCTGTCTGTCTTTTGTGTAACTGGAATCACGGATATTTCCCCTTTATCTGGCAACGGGGGAGCCCTTTCAAACACTTGCATGGAACCCCAGAAGGGTTTGGGTTGGGAGGGACCTTCAAGCCCATCCAGTCCCAGTCCCTGCCACGGGCAGGGACACCTTCCACTCTCCCAGGTTGCTCCAACCTGGCCTTGATGGAATGGGAACGTCCACAACCTCTCTGGGCAACCTGAAATGATTATTTTCAAGTTTTCTGAAACCAGGCACCCAAAAAGGAGTGAGACCTTTGGGCACAAACAAAGTCACAACGCTTAGATTTTACTATTTGCAGATTTTGTGCTGTTATTTTTCCTCTATTCCCTGCTCTGTCCACCCTGGTTCTCTCCTGTTTTTTGGGGCCAAGTTTATAAGCTGTTTCTCCTTTTTCCCATAGGATCACTTCTGCTGGCTGTGCATTTCTACAGCTCAGCCAGAGCAGCCCCTCTGATCCCCAGCACAGCTCTTGGAGTCCTTCTGCTCATTTTATCAGCTTTTTTGGCCTATGCAGGTAAGATTTGGGGGGTTCAAGGCCTCCCCCTCCCACAGCTTGGCGTGTGCTGGGGCTGATACAAACCACAGCAGCCTCAGGGACCACTGAGCCCTTCTCCTGGAATTTGCCCAGAGAAGCTGTGGCTGCCCCTGGATCCCTGGAAGTGTCCAAGGCCAGGTTGGACAGGGCTTGGAGCAACCTGGGCTAGTGGAAGGTGTCCCTGCCCATGGCAGGGGGTGGCACTGGGTGAGCTTTAAGGTCCCTTCCAACTCAAACCAGTCTGGGATTCTATGTCAGCACAGCCAATTTTTAGTATACAGGCAAGAGAAGAAATCAGTGTTTGTGTTAAACAAGGATCTCTGGAGTTTTAACACACTGAATCCATGATTCCTCAAAAAAGGGTTCCCAGGCTTTCTGAGAGTGCTTTCAGCATCCATGGTTTGGAATGTCCATCTGGACATGCCAGGAGATCGACTTAACTGAGGGAAAAAATCACTGCCTGTAGCAAAGTCCACACTTTTCAGAATGAATGTTGAATTATTTCTCATTTTTAACTCAGAGTAATGAGGACATTAAAATCAGACAATCATGGAACCATGGAATTGTTGGGAAAGACCTTTAAGATCACCAAGTCCAACCATCAACCAGCACCACCACCACCATGTCCACCACTAAACCATGTCCTCAAGTGCCACATCCACATGTTTTTGGAACACTTCCAGAAGTGGTGACTCCACCATTCCCCTCCACAATTGTGCCAGGGTTGGACAACCCTGTCTGTGAAGAAATTTTCCCAATATCCAACCTAAACCTCCCCTTGAGGC